ATGAATACTCCCAGGTCCTTGTCAGAGGGATCCACGTGGTCATATCTGCCCAGCTTGTTTTTGGTGTTCTGATTTTTTTTTTACCAATGTGTATGACAGAGCATTTGTTGGTTGAGATTTGGAGTTGCCAATTGTTTGATTATTGTATTGGTGCTGTCATCTACTAGTTGTCGATGTTTTCATTCAGATCTGATAGCCCTAAGAAAAGACTTCTGCCATTTTGTACTGAAAGTCAAAAGGTGGTCCCAGTCAAACTTAATGAGCATACACATGTTCATAACAAGGTGGTAGATGGCTATTCCAATTGCTCCCTTCACAGCTTAAAAGCATAGGGAAGAAAGCAAAACAAGTATATATTCTTATTGGTGAAATGAATATTGTAAAATGCATTTTTCATGGCTGCATTATTGTACATTTTTCATGGCCCTCAATAGTGCTTTTTGCATTTTCATTTGAAAGTAATCTTAATCTTCCAAAAATGTAGCCAGTAGCTCTAACACAAATTTATTATATTTACTTTGGCTCCTGGTAGTGAACTTGACTTTTTCAGTGGAGCTCGGCATCTGTGACAATTATATCCCCTGGGCAGTTCTGATTTCAATTTGGACTGAAAATAAATGGCAGCAGTCATACTTGGTTACCAAATTTGGAGAACACTGAATCCAAGCATGCAGAAGTAGAAATCAATGCAGCTATGAAATCCTTCTTCCTCATCTTTTCCAATCATTAACTCCATTAATCAGTTCACTTTATTGTTCTTTTAGCAAAATGTCTGCAGAAGGTTTCCAGTCTTTTTTAAGTACGTTTTGTTTTTTTCCTTGATCAAACAGGTCAGTTTTGTCATTTCCAAATGTTAGTCTTCATCATTTGATAACTGAAATAACTCATATAACTAAGTACAGTAATACTTTTTATTGTTCATTTTTATTAAAAGTTTTTACATAGCTAAAAGACATATAGCAGTAGATAAAGAAAAGAAATAAAGGAGAAAAAGAAAAAGTGCAGAACAGAATACAGTTAAAGGGAAAAAAGCCCCATAGTTACAGAAGCTACTTCTACCCTTCTTATTATTACTTATTATCCCTCTGCCATTTTTAGCATTACAATCTCTTCAGCCCTTTATTCAATTTTTAAGGTTTTAGTAAAATGTTTTTTTTTAAGTTAAAAAGAAATTACTTTACAGAAACAGAAAGAAATTTATTTGTATTTAAAATTAATATTTTTTTCTAGATAATGAAAAAGGTGCCTTTTTATTTGGAAATATTTAACAGTTTTCAGAAAATTAAATCTTTGATAATTCTTTGACACATCTTCCAGAAAACATTTTAAATCAGTGATGCTATTAAAAGAAATATATATTTTACAGCATATATACAATGAAAAGATTTTATCTTTATTATAAAATGACTGATGTAATCTAAACTCTAGTAAAGTTATTTATGACTGAGGACAATCCATTCAAAATATCTTTTTTAATTTATCTTTTTTTCTGTTCCTCCTGATTTTGGAAAATTACTGATAAAGCAGATTACAGAAGAAATCTCAGTTTTCTAAAAACATGATATGAGAAATTAAGTCGATATCATGCTAAAGCACTTACAAAGCAATACAATGTACGACAAAATGTAGCCACGCATTTTTACTACTAAAATATACATGGTTGTATAAATAATAGTTACATCTAAGCCTTTTTACTAGATTGTAACTTTTAAATGTTAATTCGGCATTCAGTTTTTAGTGTGACTAAAAAGTTCGATTGAGCAGCAATTTACATTATGATCAACAAAGGCATTACACTGGCACCACAGATTCAAACAGTATTTACGTACCAATTTCTTTTGTACCTAATTGCAGAAAATATAGCAACAAAAATGACATTTTGAATTTTTCTTTCAGAAAATAATCTATAGTTGAATCCATTGTATATAAATACTTTATAATAAGTAGGTGGCATCTAAATTGGAAGTAGGGAAGCTAAAGTAGCAATTTTGCTCCTTTGTGTTACAAGTGCAAGATTCACAGTGGCTCCCACAGATAAACAGTCAGACACTAACCCTGATAAGGATTCCAGTTGTGCCCCAATGCTGCCAGGGAATTCTGTCAATTTAAAGACTACTCCCATATTCATAAAAACATCTGGAAACTGATTCTCTTTTAGGCTTCATATCACATTCTTCCTTCTCTTATGGAGTAATCTACAGATAAGGAACTTGAAATTAGTAACATAAACCGTCCTATCGATCTAACTGGCTGCAGTAAAGAATATCATGGCATACTTGTGATAACGATTTCAATGTTTACTAGTCCACATCCCGCTCTTTGTAATTAGTGGGATGCAGAATTACCACTCAAATTTGCATATTTTCTTATTCAGAGAGCAAAATAAACTAATTAAAGAAGTAATCAAATGGTTAATAGTTCATTAAGAGCCTTGCGACAGAAGCTTAGAACACATCTAATAGAAACCTAACTTTTCAGTATTATATTTCATTGGCAATGGATGCTGCAATAAATGCAGCTATTTTTCAGTAACCCTTTTTATGAAAAGGATAAAGCATTCAGAAGATCACTTGTGAGTCACAAACATTTGAAATCTGGCAATGCAATGCTTCCTGCCTCACAAACATATTTTCCCTTTCTAAATTCAGTAGCATGGATCACACATAGAAACACAACAATAAGGGAATGGGACCACTTCTCCAGAAATAACTGAAGACTTTACATGCTTATCACATGTTGAGGTAGTCTGATTTATAAATAAGCATTCTTTTACACTTTCATTCGTTCGTAACAAACTTCTTTCTGAATTCTCCTCCTCGGAAAAATTTTTCGTTTGAGAGCTATTAGCTGAAAAATAAAAGAGCAAGTTTTTTTTTTAACATTGATGCACATGATCATGTCGCTATATTCTATATGCTGGAAACATCTACCCAACCACTGTGATTCAAACATCTGCATTTCAGAGATAAGACTATTTTCCTCTAGAAAGTATGGCAGACTTTATAGCCTAATATACCCTTTGAGGAAAACCATGAAACCCTGTATAAAATGCCTTTGAAAATGTTATATACATGGTTTCACATTAATCTAGAAAGTGACATATATATATATGTATAACATATATCAGTATAGTATACATCAGTATAACAATTCTAACCATGATTTTTTTCTGGGGAAAAATAATCTACCCAGTCTTTCTTCCTGAACAAGCTATTGGTATTATTGAGGATATATATTATGCATCTCAATTTTGGGCCCCAGCCTTTTAGCCAGATATCTATGTATAAATATATTCATAAAACATACTTTATTTGTCTCTTTAAGCAACACACTATCAATTCAAATGTGTAGTTGTAAAGAATACCCATCCTAAAAACTTGAATCTAAGAACCTTTGTTCCCATGACAGTAACAGCAATTCTTTTCATAGAAGGAAAAAAGGATGAGGTCATTTTAGGGCAATTCTTTCTCGCCTCCACACCCATTATATCCCATTACATCTTCTATTACTTTTGATGAATTCATTTCCGTAACTGTTTGATACCGTAGAAACCACACAACTGGTGGCTGGTACACCAAAGTAAAGATTTTGACCTTAGCATATTAGTGTATTTTCCCATATTTGAACTTTTACAATACAGTGATTGATCTCCCAGGAAGAATTCAACATGTGTAGCTTTACCTGCTCAGCAAAAAATGAGGTGACTGTGAACACAATCAATGTGACTAGTACACAATGTGTCCAGAATTTCAGCTTATCTCTGTAGGCTCTCCTAAGTAAATATAATAAAAACAAGGTTTTTTTTTTTTAAAAAATGATTAAGTCCAACATATCAGAGAAAATTTATGTAACAAAAAGATTAAAGGTAAAGGTTCTCCTCGCACATATGTGCTACTTGTTCCCAACTCTAGGGGGTGGCGCTCATCTCCATTTCAAAGCTGAAGAGCCAGTGCTGTCTGAAGACATCTCCATGTCATGTGGCTGGCATGACTAAATGCCGAAGGCGCACAGAATGCTATTACCTTCCCACAAAAGGTAGTTCCTATTTTTTCTACTTGCATTTTTACATGCTTTCGAACTGCTAGGCTTGGCAGAAGCTGGGACGAGTAACAGGAGCTCACTCTGTTATGTGGCACTAGGGATTCAAATTGCCAAAATTTCTGATCGACAAGCTCAGCGTCTTA